TGAAAACCCCCCTTTTAAAAAAAAAAAATCAATATCTCAAAAATAAAATTTTGAATCAAAACCAAAAAGTATACAGATCTTAGATTAATATAACTAAGAAGTGTGTAAAATTTTAAGCAATAATCATAAATCGTTTTTTGAGATATGGTGCGACATGTGAAAAACCCCTCCCCCTTTTTAACAAAATACTTAATAACTCAAAAATAAAATTTTGAATCATCACCAAAAAGTATACAGATCTTAAGGTTAATATAACTAAGAAGTGTGTAAAGTTTTAAGCAATAATCATAAATTGTTTTTGAGATACAGCGCGACATGTGAAAAAAAACACACACCTGTTTTAGTTACTAAGTTCCGTAACTCAAAAAGTTTTAATCTTATTTTCACCAAAAAGTATACAGATCGTTTGACCATCATAAGAAACAACTATGTTAAGTTTCATGAAATTTGGATAAGTCATTCTCAAGTTACAGTGCGACATGTTTATGCCAGACAGACAGACGGACGACACCGGACATTTGTATACCATAATACGTCCCGTCAAAAATTGACGGGCGTATAATAAAACTATGCTAAAGTTAAAACCTCTCTAACCATATTATATCCTAAGGTGAATAAAACTGATGCTTAAGTTAAAACCTCTTTTTCAGTATTATATCCTAAGGTAAATAAAACTGATGCTAAAGTTAAAACCTCTCTATCAGTATTATATCCTAAGGTAAATAAAACTGATGCTAAAGTTAAAACCTCTCTAGTAGTATTATATCCAAAGGTAAATAAAACTGATGCTAAAGTTAAAACCTCTCTATCAGTATTATATCCTAAGGTAAATAAAACTGATGCTAAAGTTAAAACTGCTCTATCAGTGTTATATCCTAAGGTAAATAAAACTGATGCTAAAGTTGAAACCTCTCTATCAGTGTTATATCCTAAGGTAAATAAAACTGATGCTAAAGTTAAAACCTCTCTATCAGTGTTATATCCTAAGGTAAATAAAACCTCTCTATAAGTATTATATCCTAAGGTAAATAAAACTGGTGCTAAGGTTAAAATCTCTCTATCAGGATATACTACTGATAGAGAGGTTTTAACTTTAGTGTTATATCCTACTGAAAATAAAACTGGTGCTAAAGTTAAAACCTCTCTATCAGTATTATATCCTCTGGTAAATAAAACTGATGCTAAAGTTAAAACCTCTCCATCAGTGTTATACCTAAGGTAAATAAAACTATGCTAAAGTTAAAACCTCTCTATCCATATTATATCCTAAGGTAAATAAAACTGATGCTTAAGTTAAAACCTCTTTTTCAGTATTATATCCCAAGGTAAATAAAACGGATGCTAAAGTCAAAATCTCTCTATCAGTGTTATATTCTAAGGTAAATAAAATGGATGCTAAAGTTAAAACCTCTCTATCAGTATTATATCCTAAGGTAAATAAAACTGATGCTAAAGTTAAAACCGCTCTATCAGTGTTATATCCTAAGGTAAATAAAACTGGTGCTAAAGTTAAAACCTCTCTATCAGTGTTATATCCTAAGGTAAATAAAACGGATGCTAAAGTTAAAACCTCTCTATCAGTGTTATATCCTAAGGTAAATAAAACTGATGCTAAAGTTGAAACCTCTCTATCAGTGTTATATCCTAAGGTAAATTAAACTGAGGCTAAAGTTGAAACCTCTCTATCAGTATTATATCCTAAGGTAAATAAAACTGATGCTAAAGTTAAAACCTCTCTATCAGTGTTATATCTTAAGGTAAATAAAACTGATGCTAAAGTTAAAACCTCTCTATCAGTGTTATATCCTAAGGTAAATAAAACTGATGCTAAAGTTAAAATCTCTCTATCAGTATTATATCCTCTGGTAAATAAAACTGATGCTAAAGTTAAAACCTCTCTATCAGTGTTATATCCTAAGGTAAATAAAACTATGCTAAAGTTAAAACCTCTCTATCCATATTATATCCTAAGGTAAATAAAACTGATTCTTAAGTTAAAACCTCTTTTTCAGTATTATATCCTAAGGTAAATAAAACGGATGCTAAAGTTAAAATATCTCTATCCATATTATATCCTAAGGTAAATAAAACTGATGCTAAAGTTAAAACCTCTCTTTTAGTATTATATCTTAAGGTAATTGAAACTGATGCTAAAGTTAAAACCTCTCTATCCATATTATATCCTAAGGTAAATAAAACTGATGCTAAAGTTAAAACCTCTCTTTTAGTATTATATCTTAAGGTAATTGAAACTGATGCTAAAGTTAAAACCTCTCTATCAGTAGTATATCCTAAGGTAAATTAAACTGATGCTAAAGTTAAAACCTCTCTATTAGTGTTATTTCCTAAGGTAAATAAAACTTCTCTATAAGTATTATATCCTTAGGTAAATAAAACTGGTGCTAAGGTTAAAATCTCTCTATCAGTGTTATATCTTGAGGTAAATAAAACAGATGCTTAGTTTAAACCTCTCTATCCATATTATATCCTAAAGTAAGTAAAACTGATGCTTAAGTTAAAACCTCTCTTTCACTATTATATCATAAGTAAATAAAACTGGTTAAAGGGCAGAGAATGAGAAATAAAGGGGTATCCCTTGATAAGACAGCAGCCCAAAAACATTACAGCATTACTACTTAATGCATTTGTTTAGCTCATCTTGAACATTTCCCCTTATGTGAGCACTCTGCATCTTATTTGATCTGTCATTGTCCTAATCTTTTTTAAAAACTTCTGAAACAACAGTCCATAGGTGGCATGGTTGCTGTAGCTATAAATATAGCTGGCATGGTTGCTGTTATTATAAATATAGGTTACTATAAATATTTGAAAACATGAACTGCCATTTCTTGTTACAATATTTTTAAATGGTAGACAAAAGTATTTCCCTTGGAAGAGGCCCATATTTTTTTTTATGAAGTCTATTAATTAATCTCTTTTCAGAAAACTGAGGAGCCTCAGAAATCTCAGACAATCAAGGTTGTCTATCTTACCTGAAGGGATGTTGATTAGTGTTTTGTTCTTATTTGTGTTTGTTCTTCTATATAAAACTGCTTACAGCTCAAGTATTTAAACTTGTTTTAATACACTTGTGATAAATAAGACCAACAAAATATTGTAAATAAAGAATTTTTGCGTGCACTTATTATGCGATTGTTGAGCAAAGAACTAAAATGGTAGAGCAATTATTACTATTTCATGCTGCATACAAATAATGCTATCAAAATTTATAAAATGCAAGTTTTTACTGTTTTTTAAAGCAATTGCTTTTATGCCATCGCGTATGGCCATCTTTGTGACGCAGATCAGAGACTCCGCCCATATCAAGCCATAGTATTTTGTTAAAAAGGCTCCTGGTCTGTCATTCTTAAACACCTATGTATGTTTTCTATTGCAATACATAGCTTGAAACTTTTGAAAAACATTAGTGGATTTAAGAGGTTTCAACGTATGTTCTTGTAGATGTATTTTTGTATTTAGGGGGACAACCGGTTGACTATAAAAAAACATAGAAGTCCGAGTGAAAAAAAGTGCATTTTTATACCGATTCCTTTCTCCTTTCGTACTATGTTTCAACAAAATATCGAATCATTTCAGTTGTTGATTTAGTATTGAAAATTTTACTGAATTATCTCTTATTAAATACGGTTTTATATGTTTAATTGGTGTTTCTCTAAGAAAGAGGCCAGGTGCTCTTGTTCATTCATAAAATTATCATTCATTCATAAATTTATTGTAAAATCAAAATCACTACACAGGTTATACGTAGTGTCAAATGATTACCTGTAATCTAAAAATAGACAAACTTAACTGACCTATTTTGTTGATTTGTTTGCGCAAATAATTTAGCGGAACGAAACCCTTGTTAAAAACACATAACAATAAGTTCGTTTTCCTTTTTTGTCATAACTCCGTAAGATTTATCGATCACCTTACTAATGAAATAGACCCGTCAAAACGTGATAGATGCCAAGTCCAGATGAAGAGATATTTACAATTTGGAATTTTCTAGTTTCATAGATTGAAAAAAAGTACGTCCTTTTGGATATCATAATCAAAACTGGGTATGCATGACAAATGATGAAACCATTATCCTCGTCTTTCCAGTGGACGAGTCTACTACGTGTGTTGACACTCGACGGTCCACCGTGTTTGCAATTTTATTTCACATGTTTTCGAAATATTGAAGATCATTTTTCGCAATGTTTCCTGAAAATTGATAAATATCAAAGCAACGAAGAGCTTTTTGTTCTTGTTCGTATAATGACAATTTAATGTCATGTTTGTCTGTGATGACCCCCCTTTTCGGGATTGCATGAGAATTATAGTTATCTCGTACCGCATGAGGATGACACATATCAACTGAGCAATAATGTTTGGGACTTAGTTTTAAGAAATGAAGACAAAGTAACATTATGAAAATATTTTTAGTAAGCTGAAATATATATTTATTTTTTACATGTTTATCTCTTGTAAGATATTTTATTTCTTTCGTGTTTTTCAACATTTGCGTCTGGAAAGTTGAAATGTTTTAATTGAATGGTTAAATTTAAATTAATTATGACAATTGTTAAAATTAAATCAATAAAGGAAATTATTGTCCAGTTACAAACACTACCAGGGGATAATTTCTTTTTGAGTTATATGTTTCAGCACATGTAAATTTGACCCCAACTTTAGCCTGGTAAACGTGTTGTCTCCTTGTGAAATATAAAACATATCAAAAATGACTTTCTGCTAAAGTCTTTTATTGATATAAAGTTAAAACCTTCTTATTTCTCACTAGACAACACTCCTGTCGGGTTTAATTCTTATATATATGTGGATGAAAAAGTCCCCAAAACATTAACATGGCAGCAATTGCTTTTATGGCCTTTAAGGCTTTGATTTGGTGGAACTTATCCTTTATCAATTTTTGGCAATAATAAAAACATCACAAACATTTCTGAATTTACACTACTTATTACTGAAATAATACTATACAAATTTAATTTTATCAGCCAACAAAGCCAGATAGGAGCATTTCAAAGGCTAGTAGAAGTATGGATTTTGCTCCAAAATCTGCAAGGAAAATATCACGCAAAACCAAAGATACATCCATAGATTTTTCCCCAAGAACAGTCCAAAAACCAAAGCTTTCCAGTCGTGATACAGGAACCAGTCAGAGTAAAGGCAAAGTTACAAGTCAATCAGGAGAGATGGGAATCAGTATGAATAACAATGGAGATACTTCACACACACCAGACAACTCGCACATGACAACTGGAGGACAGACGTCAACACCTACACATGATGGTTCAGATTTCCCTAATGAGATCGATGCTTCTGCAATACATCCAGAAATATCTGTTTTATCTACTGGTATGTCAAATATTTTATTAAATCTTTACTGACAAAGAAATTAGTAACTCTTTGTAGAGTGGAATATATACTCATAGATACCACGCTTAAAATTATATACGCCAGGCACACGTTTCATTTACAAAAGACTCATCATTGATGCTCAAATCAGAAAAGTTAAAAGGCCAAATAAAATAAAATGTTAAAGAGCATTTAGGACCCAAAATTCTGAGAACTTTTTTGTTGTTGAACAAAGTGCTGCTATAATTGGGGTATAATGTTTGAACTACTTTGTTTTAAATTGCTGTAAATATCTAGTGATCTGTAGCTGTTGAATTTGTTATGTGAAAATTGGAGTCATTTCTATTTATTTGAAAAATATTCATTCCAAGTGAATTAGGTTCTGCAACTTACTTCCAATGCCAATGCAATAAATTAGGGTTTTCAAGATTTTATGACAAAATTGACAAGTTAATTCATGCTGATTGGTAATATACACACAAAAAATCACTGTAATGTAATTGGACTTCAAACGAAAAAATTTGCTATTTCCATACATGTAGGTATAAACAAGATAAGGTCATTCTGCACCATAACTATATGGTTCCGTATCAGACATTGATAAGGATTGTAATCAGGAGTCATACTAAAATACTAGACAGCCTAGAATAAGAGTTAAACCACCACAAACTTTTAGCTGGACATCAGAACCATCTCTACAATCAAATAAGGGGACCTACCTGATTTTTAGTGGTCAGGACCAATAAGACTGCCAGTTTTGTGTGAACACTGACAAGACTGATTATCTTTTATTGGACATTTAACCTTGGTATACATGTACTTGATATCTACCAATGAACATGTGGGAAATTGGAATAGAGATACTTCACCATTTGGAGTGAATTTTAGCACGGTTTCATTTATGTGTGTTTAAAGACGCCATGAACAAAGCAAAAAAAAAACTTACACACACACAAAAAAATGATATACAGTAATATTAAATTTATCCCAGAAGTTCAATCAACTCCTACAATTTTCAGATGAGGACTTGCTAATAACTGAGTTGTGTATCTGATGAGTTTAGTTTCACATGTATACTTAAATGTTGATACACACATGCACATACATCATGTACATTCTACAACATAGTGATACAAGAAAATACATGTATATATTGGAACTTTAACATTCTTATAAGATCAAAAGTTTTAGTTAATAAATATTTTTTCCCTAAGGTTTAAGGAAATCAGTATGGCGTAAGATTTTTTTTTTTTGCATGATTGTTGTGATTATATTTTTGTGTGTTTGATCAGCTACATTTATCAAAGCATGTTATGTACCATATTGCAATGAAATGATTTGAAAGACAAAGATATTCTACTAAAAAAAATAAGTTAAATGTATGAACTTCAGAAGTGCATGCAGAATTACATTACTTATTTTTATTCCATGAATAATTTGGAAATAAATCAGCATTTTTTATCTTTGGTAGCAACAGCTTAAACTATTTGTATAAAGCTTTATATTTGGATGTGTGTCTGTTATATGTCCATTGTCCTTGACCTTGTTTAGCGACTGTACATTTTTTTTTGTCATGAGAAATACTCACTAATTATGAATAATAGGATAAATATATTTGGTATATGGGATCCTTGCAACGTCTACATGTCCGTATGACAGGGTTCATCTGACCTCATTACATCAATAAGTGATCAATGTTAAGTTTTTGTGGTCAAGTCCGTATCTCAGATACAATAAACAATAGGTCAACTATATTTGGTGTACAGAAATTATTGTAAGGTGTACATGTCTGTTTGGCAGGGTTCATCTCACCTTGACCTCATTTTCATTATTCATTGGTATTCAGTATTAAGTTTAAGTTTTCATGCTTATGTCTGTTTCTAAGATACTATAAGCAATAGGTCAACTATATTTGCTTGTGATAATTTACATAACACATTTTGAATGAATTCATTTCAAATATGGTACATCAAAATATCAATTCCCTCTGTATATGTCAGTAGCTATGGTTTTTTTCTAATTGGAATTTGATTGCTCTTTTTTTAGTGAGCTTTTGCATTTTGATATTATTAGATTAAGCCTAAGTAAATAATAAGTTAAAATTATAATGTAAAGGTATGTGTGAGTTAAAGGATCTAGACATTAGAGCTCAGTTCATTATTATAATTCTTTTTATGATTTTATCATCTACAGATTTCAAATTAGAGCTAACATTCAATTAAAAGACATGAATAATTATGCAATGTGTTCTTTAGTTGTTGATGTATGTAAATAAACGAAGAACAAAATCATTGAAGTTTATCATAAACTATTAGTAGTTTGCATATGTAAAATACACATCAAATTGAAATATTTATGCTATACTTCACAGGTGAAGGCTCTAGAATCAATCATTCTGTGTTGTCTAATGTATCTACACATCTTCCACCAAAGAAAAAGGCAAGTATTATTTATAACATGATATGCATATACATGTACATGTAGGAAAATATATGAGAAATAGCATACAGATATTATCACTTTCAGCAGTGGAGCACCTGTCATTCTGTCAATATTGTTTTTATGTTTACCTTGAAAGATACTTGGAAGTTACAAATAGTAAAGTAATAACTTTTAAAGATTGCATTATAGATCTAAGAATGAAAACCGTGTGTATTATATAACACTAAAATTGTGGAGTCCATACTTATGACTATATAGCAATATGAAAGAAGTCTAAATTATGAAGAATTTTGTTTATGTCTATAAATAATAATATAAATACATAATAATTATACGTTCTCCCTTCCACAGAAACAAGCCAAACTAACACAACATCAGTTAGACATGTTGTATGCTAGATACATTCAATCTTTGTACTTGTCTACCAAAGCACAAAAAGTCAGGGAAGAACAAGAAAAACAAGCTATGGTAAGTTTTATAGATATCATGGATAAACAGGAAAAACAAGCTATGGTAAGGTTTATAGATATCATATATGGCTAAACAGGAAAAACAAGCTATGGTAAGGTTTATAGATATCATATGGCTGAACAGGAAAAACAAGCTATGGTAAGGTTTATAGATATCATATGGCTGAACAGGAAAAACAAGCTATGGTAAGGTTTATAGATATCATATGGCTGAACAGGAAAAACAAGCTATGGTAAGTTATATAGATATCATGGCTAAACAGGAAAAACAAGCTATGGTAAGTTTTATAGATATCATGGATAAACAGGAAAAACAAGCTATGGTAAGTTTTATAGATATCATATATGGCTAAACAGGAAAAACAAGCTATGGTAAGGTTTATAGATATCATATGGCTGAACAGGAAAAACAAGCTATGGTAAGGTTTATAGATATCATATGGCTGAACAGGAAAAACAAGCTATGGTAAGTTTAATAGATATCATACTGCTGAACAGGAAAAATTAGCTATGGTAAGTTATATAGATATCATGGCTAAACAGGAAAAACAAGCTATGGTAAGTTTTATAGATATCATACTGCTGAACAGGAAAAACAAGCTATGGTAAGTTTTATAGATATCATACTGCTGAACAGAGCTTGTACCTTCTCTGAATAAAATGAGTTGTTGCGTATCAATGAGACCACCACAACATCCAAAATAACCAAAAGACATCTAGATGGCAACATTCAGTCTTCAACAAGAGACAGATGTCTATACAATATGTCAGCGTAAACCATTCTAAAAGTCTATAAAAGTTCTGAGTAAATTTAAAAGAGACTTAAAGACATCAACACATAAATGAGTTCAACATTTTAACAGCATTAAACCATTATTATATTATTTTAACAATGTTGTTTAATATGACAAAGTAGGATTTTTACCCAAATTTGGCAGTTCACTGAGCATGGAAATGTAACATTGCAAGGGGAACATGGAGTCCTATGGGAAATGTAACATTGCAAGGGGAACATGGTGTCCTATGGGAAATGTAACATTGCAAGGGGAACATGGTGTCCTATGGGAAATGTAACATTGCAAGGGGAACATGGTGTCCTATGGGAAATGTAACATTGCAAGGGGAACATGGTGTCCTATGGGAAATGTAACATTGCAAGCGGAACATGGTGTCCTATAGACCCATGTTCTTTAATAGTTAAATATCTCTTGATAACATTTGAACGTATTTCACCATTAGCCAAAAAAACGGGTGAAAATATATGATTTATGCTATTAATAGTATTGGATTGTATTTCTAGGCTCAGATCTTAGGTATATACACAGAGGTAGAAAAACTGCAGAAAAAGAATCATGAAATGGATAAAGAATTGATGAGATTAAAACATCTGAATGAAGTTGATGTACAGATTGATTTGCAGGTTGGTTGACATGTGTAAAGAATGAGAAACTGACATAAAGAGGTCTCTAAACACTCCATTTCAATTTTAAATCTACTGATCAATATTTTGTTGTCAAAATTTCATTTCTTGTAGACTGATTACGTGAAATTTTACACTTTTTAACAGTAAAGGTAACCGGTTATTTTGAAATTTTAGATCTGAAAAATATATAGCTCTCAAAGTTTTCTGGGTCAATTTAGTAGTAATGACAAAGGCTTTATTTGACAATGGTGTAATACTCTTTGATTTATAACAATAGTTATAAAACTCTTATTCTCTTTTGCCTTTATTAAAAAAAGATCATTCATATTAAACATTATCAATTTCCTATATTGAGTAGATCTAAACAATAAAAAGAAACTATGTGCACAAGATTTTTCAGGATAATATCAAATCAAATCAATCACCCAATCAAATCTTGTTATACTGTATACACAATGAAACTCCACTTATGTATTGTCCTCTGGTGTCAATCTTAATTACAATGCTTCAGCAAAAAAACTTTGCTAACTTGTCAATCAAACTTTTATTCATCATGGATTTGTAAATAACTTTGTAAATAAGAATTTGATGAAACCATTAGTATGGCTAAAAATTGTAACAACAAATAAGATGACCTGTGCATTTAAAGAAATTACTTGCAAGATTTGACTAAATCTTTTTTAGCGACAGTCATTAGGTCCTATCGTGTCCAGTCTGCCACAGCTTACAAAGGAGTATGATACATTAGCACATGCACTGGATACCACCCGGCATCAGATACCAACGAAAGGAGTGTATATCCCTGACGATGAAGACCAGTTCCAACGTATGTACATAATCTCTGTTTAATTTAACTTTATCTAATTTCTATCAGTGAAGCCTCTTATTTTGACATCACTTTGAGTTTCTTTCTCTTTTGTATAGTACATTGAATGTTAAGCAAACAACAACACATCATATTTTACAGTACAATATAAGTCTGCTTTACCTCTGTTTTCTATATTTACAATTAACAAATGTACTGTTAATTTTAATTTATTTGCACATTTATAAATGCAGATCTTTGAAAACAAACAAAAATGCAAGATTAATTACTGTGGTTAATGTACATGTGTTAGTAGAATATAAAACCTGCTGAAATGCCAGTTATAATTATGCAGACATGTGACAGAGTTGTCAAGCCACAACTGGAGATTTGGAAATTTTCAGCTGGAGTTTGGGCTTCATAACTGGAGATTTTTTATCGACCTATTTATCGACGTATGCAATGGTTTTTTGTGTGTTTAAACTGCATATCTTCTTTTTTGTTTGTTAAAAGAACAATAATTCCCTACCTTTCAACAACTCCATATCCATTTTTACTTGATAAAAATAGGAAGATAAGGGGTTTCAAATATTTATTCATTAATAATAATTCAAGATAAAGCGATCAGCCATCATACAGAGTTGGCAAAAAGTACCCCTGATTCAGCTACATTGTCAACTTTGGTACTACTACTGAACATGCTTGTAACAGAAGGTGTTAATTGATAGAGTTGTAGGCTTGCTGGTGGGTAGCTGTCCCCATAAGTCTGGTCAAATCATTAGGGCCACCACAGTCAGCTTTGCATGAAGTGTAGTAAGCATGGTCTTGACCCTTGGTACTGGATCTGCATCATTTGAAATCAGATCTCCAGGCAGAGTTGAATTTGGCTAGATACTTGGTCTTCTTTTATTTGCTGCTGGTGTATTTGGTGATATAAAAATACGGTTTGCATTTAAAATTTTAGAATAGTCCAAGACAACTGTACTTATATAGGTATTCCATTGGCTTGGATAGAAAACAAGCCATAAATATCATATTTGAGTTGATTTCATTTGTCTTTGAGGTTCAGTAAACGTTCCATGTTTTCAACAGCATCAAATTAAATTGTTGTTTATACAACTTGTACAATTTAATCCTTTGTCAGTATTTCACTTTTAATCAACCTTGCTTGTGTCTTAAACTAGCTAGTTGATCACTAGGTAATTGCCTATTATCTTTTATTTATTGTTGTATATACAGTTTAATCCTAAACACCTCAGGCTAATTTTACCTATTTTAACTTTTGACACAAAATCCATTACAGGAAACTTCCGTTTTTCTCGGACTTTTCCCATATCAATTTCGAGTTTCTCGGACTTTTTCTCTGTCCGTATCGATTTTGTAAACAAAAATGTCTAATGAAAATTTTACGAGGTTGACATTTTCAAAAAGCGGAAGATTTCAAATTTTAACGGGAGGGACGGAAGAGGGTCTGAAATGCGGGAGATTTTGACTCCCGCCGGAAGAATCACATGTATGATTATGTTGATGGTTATCCTATTACAATTGTACATTGTTTAAATATTTGATGTAGCACTTCAGTGCCACATGTAAACTACAATAATATTTTTAGCTCACCTGGCCCAAAAGGGCCAAGTGAGCTTTTCTCATCACTTGGCGTCCGTCTTTGTTGTCCGTTGTCTGTTAACTTTTACACAAATCTTCTCCTTTGAAATTACTGGGCCAAATAAAACCAAACTTGGCCTAAATCATCCTTAGGGTATCTAGTTTAAAAAATGTATCCAATGACCCCGCCCATCAACCAAGATGGCCGCCATGGCCAAAAACAGAACATGGGGGTAAAATGCAGTTTTTGGCTTATGTCTCTGAAACTAAAGCATTTAGAGCAAATCTGACATTGGGTATAAATGTTCATCAGGTCAAGATCTATCTGCCCTGAAAATTTCAGACACATCATACAACCCTTTGTTGGGTTGCTGCCCCTGAATTTGTAATTTTAAGGAAATTTTGCAGTTTTTGGTTATTATCTTGAATATTATAATAGATAGAGATAAACTGTAAACTGCAAATATGTTCAGCAAAGTAAGATCTACAAATAAGTCAACATGACTAAAATTGTCGATTGACCCCATAAGGAGTTATTGCCCTTTAAAGTCATTTTTGTCGAGCCTGCAACTTTTGTTGAAAAAGCGAGACATAGTAGTCCTACATTCCGTCTTTGACGGCGGCGGCAGCGGCGTCCACAAATATTCACTCTGTGGTTAAAGTTTTTCAAATTTTAATAACTTTCTTAAACTATTATCCGTATTTTACTCATAAATGGACTTAGTTTTTCTGCCAGTTAACATAACATTCACTCTGTGGTTAAAGTTTTTTCAAATTTTAATAACTTTCTTAAACTATTATCCGTATTTTACTCATAAATGGACTTAGTTTTTCTGCCAGTTAACATAACATTCACTCTGTGGTTAAAGTTTTTCAAATTTTAATAACTTTCTTAAACTATCCTAGATTTGTACCAAACTTGGACAGAAGCTTGTTTATAATCATAAGATAATATTCAGAAGAAAATTTTGTAAAAGAAAAAATCCTGTTTATCTGTATTTTACTTATAAATGGACTTAGTTTTTCTGCCAGTTAACATTACATTCACTCGATGGCTAAAGCTTTCAAAATTTTAATAACTTTCTTAAACTATCCTGGATTTGTACCAAACTTGGACAGAAGCTTGTTTATAATCAAAAGCTAGTATCTAGAAAGAAAAATTACCTGTTTTTCTGTATATTACTTATAAATGGACTTAGTTTTGTTCCAGTTAGCATTACGTACAGTCTGCAGTTAAAGTTTTTGAAACATTTATTAGATTCATAAACCTTCTTGGATTTTTACCAAACTTGAACAGAACTTCTTACAATCAAAAGATAGTATCTAGAGGAAAATTTTTAATAATTTTTTCCCCATTTTTGTTGACTAACAGCAAAAGTAGACGAGACACTGGGTTCCACGAAACCCTTACAAAATTTTTCACAATTTTTCATAAATTTTTGTAATCTTTTACAAAGATCTTCTCCTCTGAAACTACTGGGCCAAATTAAACCAAACTTGGCCTAAATCATCCTTAGGGTATCAATGTATCTGATGACCCAGCCCATCAACCAAGATGGCCGCCATGGCTAAAAACAGAACATAGGGGTTCACTATAGAAGTCTTTGGGAAAATTGTAAAAAACAATTTCAAATGGTCACAACTTGAAAACTAATTTAAATAATGATAAGGGGTCTTCAGTAACTATTGTAAGACTTGCTTTTAATTTAACTACTGGGCCAAATTAAACCAGACTTGGTCTCAATCATTATTGGGGTATCTCATACTATTTATTATGATTTTAACCTTATTTTACATGATTTCCAAAAACACAGAAGGTACAGGTGAGCGACACAGGCTCTTGAGAACCTCTAGTTTTAGCTCCTGCACTTAAACAAAAAATTTAAAAAATTCAGGTTGTTTTCAAAGATTTAAGCTCTTCTACATTTACTTAAAAAAACTGTCAATTTCTAACTGTTTTTTTACTACGAAATAGTGAAGAACTTACAGAAAATGTTTCAATTCTGGTATGAAAATATTGTGTAGATGTAATTGACCATATTTTTATGCCCCCACCACAGCGGAGTTATGAACTTATTCACAATGCTCAATACCTTAAAACACAGATCAAGTTCGAATTTGGGTGCGTCACTGCTACCATTCTGGAGTTATGCCCCTTTTTATATGGAAAAATTGCTGAATTTTTCATTTCCATTCTCTAACTTTAGTTAGCCTCAACCAAATGTTATGAAACTTGATACACAATGCTTTTTTAAGTTCGAATTTGGGTGGCGTCACTTTTACCATTCTTGAGTTATGCCCCTTTATAATGTTATATGCAAGCGGGCCCATTGACACATCCTCCATTTATTTGACTATTTTTTAGGAGATCTAGAACATGCTTTACTGGAGAGTGAACAGCTGTTAGGAGAGTTGTCTGTGATGATACGTAAAGATCTACCGAGTGTGACTGCGATGGCTAATGCTTTGTCAACTATGGAGAAAGCTACGGAGACCCAGGTGGAAGAACTAGTCAGGTAAGAACATAGATACATACAAAACGTTTTCTTCAATGTAGATTATTGTGAACAAAGTACATAAAGGTGGATTAACCTTTCATTTAGTATGGAAGCCACAAGAGAACATGAATTTATTGCAAAAATAAAAATCCAGGATGTCAACTTTTCTTCATTAAATTTGAACCTTGATCTAAATGAAAATTATAAAATTTATCAATGGGACATAGGTATCGAAGGAAAATAAACGAGTAAAATTTAAAGTTTCATGAGAAAAATAATATTTTCTGTAATTTCACAATGAGATAGGGTAAAGTATGAAATATGTTCTATAAGAAAGAGAAGATTAATTAATCTTGACAAAATAAATGATTGTTCTTCAGATGGGAAGCAAGTGAATTTTATTTCAGTGAATTTTTTTCTAAAGTTTTATCTTGTGTCTGACATTGAGGTATGGATTTGTTTAGCTGTAATATTAGGATTCCAAGGTATCCTTGTTTGTCATTAAAATATTTACCACTTTTTCTGTGTTTTCTGTGTATTTGTCTGTTTTGTAGTCTTCTGATTTTTAAAAGTCAGTTTAAAACGAAGAAGAAAGCTACTTAGGAGTTGCTCTTCAAAAGAGCAATGGGGAGCACTTGTTTTTTGAGATATTACTCAAAGTCATAAATAACAGCCGCAATATTTGAATGTCATTAATGTCACTAAAACACACCATTTTGAGTAGATTTGTGTGTTTTCAGTTAAAAAAACTTGATTGATACGTACACGAAATTGATGGGTGAAGGAAAAAAATTGTTAAAAAAAATAACAAAAGAAGAAATTTGGATAAACAAGTTATAAATTTTGTGTCACCTTAGAATAAATTGGGATTAAAGCAGATAAGGAAAAGAATTAACCCTTAAATGATTGTTGTTTTAGGTGTAATGAGATGATAGCAGCTACACAAAGTTTAACAATTCAGGAAACATCGATGAAAATTCAGGCAATACAAGCAAAGGAGATTGGTGCTTCATGATGTCATAATGGTGGACTATAAACTTAGCAATGACAACTCTGTTAATGCAATCTAAATTAAATGATTTACTAAACTTCTCTAGTAGACAGTAGGCCAGAACTGAGAAAGTAGACATTGACACTGCTTTTAGCAAAGTGACAAGGGAATCTAGATTTTGAACTATTTATTAATGAAGAGTCTGTGATATTATGAACAATCATATAAAAGAATTAGATAACCTATAACAATTGATTTGTGTTTTTGTCTCGTCTGTAACGAAAGTCGCGGAAGGCGAGAAATAGGTGTTGCTTTTCCACTGGTGTCAACAATTGTTGAGCAGACCTGTATACCACTACGATTTTAGCGTAGTTTCTACGATTTTTGGCACTCAAATTATGCTCTATGCTCAAATAGATAATTTCTATGCTTTCAAAAATGTTACAGTAAAAAAAAGAGGGCAGTATGTAATTTTGAGTCCAAAGAAAGTTATCCAAATGCAAAACAGAGTCTTGATGTTCGGACCAAGGACAGACCGTGGTTGTATCTTTGAATTTACAACAGAATGAATTAATAAAATTTATGAAGAAATAAAATTGAGAATGGAAATGGGGAATGTGTCAAAGAGACAACAACCCGACCAAAGAGCAGAAAACAGCCGAAGGCCACCAATGGGTCTTCAACACAGCGAGAAAATCCCGCACTCGGAGGCGTGCTTCAGATGGCCCCTAAACAAAAATGTGTACTAGTTCAGTGATAATGGATGACATACTAAACTCCAGAACATATAAATGAACTAAAATTAAAAATCATACAAGACTAACAAAGGCCTGAGGCTCCTGACTTGGGACAGGCGCAAAAATGCGGCAGGGTTAAACATGTTTTGTGAGATCTCAACCCTCCCCTATACCTCTAGCCAATCATACTTATGATAGACAATAATATTCTATAAAGATGTATTACTATCACAACATCTCACTTAGTCAACCCTTATGGGGCCCTGCCCCCTAGGTCATGGTCCAGCAACTTTGAATTAATTTGCAATGTTCTGTCCATCAGATTATCTTTTTCTGAATTTTCTGCTGACATTTTTCTGTGTCCACTTTCACAAATTGTTATGTGCAGGAATTGCATATAAGTAGTAACACAGTTGTCTCATTGGCAATCATACCACATCTCCTTATTTATATACACAGGCAAAATATATTGAATCGGAAAAGAATGAAATGTGATAAAAAGCACAGGAATCCTCTTAAAAATGAAATTTATTTTGCTCACCTGGTCAAAAGGGTCAATATGAGCTTTTGCCATATTAGGCATCTGTTATTAGGTCTTTCCAATTTTCTGTGGAAAGACCTATTGTATTTGTTCTGATTATTATTATTTTTCTTCTTCCACCAAACCCTTTTCTTGCATTATAAAGTGGTATCAGCATATGTCGCTCAGGGTTTTTTTCATATGATATAGAACAGTTATTGAGCTTATGAAGCTTACTCTGTTTAATCAAACACTTTTTATTGTAAGAGTTATCTCCCCAAACAGTTTTTCTTGTGTGTCTCTTGCAACCGTAAAAGAAATCGACATATTTATTTTTCCAAATTGCTCGTTAATTCCTTAGGATGCTTCAGTCAATTTTAACCGAAGCAATGTTGAGACTCCATATGAGAGTTATTTCCCCTTTATAAATGTAACTCATGAACTGTAAGTGATAGACCTAGGGTGTCGTGATTTGAGGTCCTTGGTCCACCAAAAGAAAATGGTGAAAAGGTCATGTTCTAAATTTTGCCCTTTGCTTGTGTGTGAATCTTATCTCATACTATAAAAGCTAGATACCAAAGAACTGGTGCTAAATGTTTGGGTTGTTGAGACGAAGAAATGGTACATTCAGTTTAAAGCAATCTGATGATTGATTATTACTTCATTCTGGTACATGATAAAGCCATAGGGTCACATGACCTTGAAAAATTTCAAACAAAAGTGACCTTGTGCAAACTGGAAGTAGCTATCATTGCACTTATGCAAGGGAAAAATACTTAGAAACAATATTATTTTTAGAATCAGACTACAATAACCTTAAAATGACACTAAAAGTCACCTTTAGTAAACCGGAAGTAGCTAATTATCTCCCTTATTTCAAGTGAAAGTACATAGAAACCATATATTTTTGGAATCAGTGCTAAGAAAGCTATCATATAAGACTGGAGGTGACATTTTCTTATCCGGACGTAGCAAATTATCTCTTATATGCAAGGCAAAAGTATAGAGAAAGCTATATTTTTGGAATCAGTGTAAATAAAGCTATCATATGAGGCCAGAATTGACATTTTCTAAACCGGAAGTAGCAAATTATCTCCCTTATTTCAGAAAAAAAAAGTATAGAAACCATATATTTTTTTGAATCAGTATGAAGAAACCTATGATTTGACCCCAATAGTAACTTTGATTAAACTGGAAGTAGCTTCTTATTAATTATTTAGAAATTTAATGTGGAAAGACCTTTTAATTTTAATTTTTAATTTGTCTTTAATTTTTGTTTAAATCTCCTCTGTAACTACTTGACCAATTTGATCCAAACAGCTATGTCTAACATACTCCTTGGGGAATCTTATTTTAGTGTTTGTCTGATGACACGATAATCAAACCAAAGGTGAAAACCGAGGGAATCAAATGAACATCAAAATGTGTGAGACCAGGTGCATCTAAGATTGGATATGACTTCAGGTGAAATGACACCAAATACTTATATTGCAGAATAAAGGATATGAAGGTCACTAATTAGTGCTTTACTCTCAAACCAAAATACCAAGGATGTATTCATGTATCAATATTGTAAGGGGGAATTTTGTTGTTTATTTACTGGTGATCGAGCTACACTTTAATTATCTTTTGAAGAAACAAGAAATGATTGTAACAGGATGCTGTTACGAAGTCTCCCAAACGAAGCTCCCATAATTCGTAATTCCCAGGGTCACCTGACATTGGACAAAGTCCAGTGAAAATTGGTTTTGTCCAGTAAAGTTATATGTATTAATGATGCCTGGGGACTAACCCTGTATATCATTCAAATCATCTTGGCATGACAAACCAGAATATATATGGTTTAGGGGTGGGGATCTCGACCATTTACAAGATACTAGAACATTGGGGGTGGGGGGAACCCCTGGGGACTGACCCTAAACGTCATTCAAATGTTCGAGACATGACGAACAGGAACATATATGGTTTAGGGGTGGGGATCACGACCATTTACAAGATATTAGAACTTTCTCAAATGACAGGGGGTCAGGATGACCCCTGGGGACTAACCCTGTATATCATTCAAACCATCTTGGTATGACAAACCAGAATATATATGGTTTAGGGGTGGGGATCTTGACCATTTACAAGATACTAGAACTTTCTTAAATAGCAGGGGGTGGGGGTGACCCCTAGGGACTAACCCTGTATATCATTCAAACCATCTTCGCATGACAAACCAGAATATATATGGTTTAGGGGTGGGGACCTTGACCACTTACAAGATATTAGAACTTTCTTTAATGGCAGGGGGTTGGGGTGACCCCTGGGGACTAACCCTGTATTTCATTTAATGTGCTTTATCATGACAAACCAGAATATATATGGTTTAGGGGTGGGGATCTCGACCATTTACAAGATATTAGAACTTTCTCAAATGGCAGGGGGTCGGGATGACCCCTGGGGACTAACCCTGTATATCATTCAAACCATCTTAGCATGACAAACCAGAATATATATGGTTTAGGGGTGGGATCTTGACCACTTACAAGATATTAGAACTTTCCTAAATGGCAGGGGGTGGGGGTGACCCCTGGGGACTAACCCTGTATTTCATTTGATGTGCTTTATCATGACAAACCAGAATATATATGGTTTAGGGGTGGGGATCTCGACCATTTACAAGATATTAGAACTTTCTCAAATGGCAGGGGGTCGGGATGACCCCTGGGGACTAACCCTGTTTATTATTCAAACCATCTTAGCATGACAAACCAGAATATATATGGTTTAGGGGTGGGGATCTTGACCACTTACAAGTTATTAGAACTTTCTTAAATGGCAGGGGGTGGGGGTGACCCCTGGGGACTAACCCTGTATTTCATTTAATGTGCTTTATCATTTAGAACATTTTCAATTAAAAAGATTGTGTCTATCACAAACGGTTTTCAATTTATAATCATTTGAACATTTTTAAAAATAAAATCCCATAGGGTTCTATAGTAAAACCCTCCTTTCTTTTTGCCCCTCAAAGTACCCCTTTATAAACCCCATTGCACAAACAAAACCCTGATTGCACCACTAGACATGTTAGTCTAACATATTGCGAAACCCTAAGTTAATCTGACAAGCGGTTTTGGAGAACGGGTGCGGACAAGTTAAAATTTAAAAGTGGGGGAAGAGGAAGAAGAAGAAGAAGAAGAAGAAGAAGAATAATAATAATAATAATAATAATAATAATAATAAGAACTGAGCAAAACCAATAAGTCTTCCCAAACTTCGTTTGGGAGACTTAATAATAAATGTGATTACAGGAAATCAAACTATTATTATAACAGCCAATCAGGTTTAATAGTAGTGAAAGTAAACATTGCAAATAACAAAGTAAAAATTTGCACTTCAGTAGAAGTGGCATTTTCGTCGGATTTTCTCTCACCTGCAATGAAAGTCGCAGAATGTGAGACAGGGATGCTAATCTGGCGGTGGTGTAAACTATTTGTATTAAGTCACAGAATGTGAAACAGGTGGTGTAAACTATTTGTATTAAGTCACAGAATGTGAGACAGGGATGCTAATCTGGCAGTGGTGTAAACTATTTGTATTAAGTCACAGAATGTGAGACAGGGATGCTAATCTGGCAGTGGTGTAAACTATTTGTATTAAGTCACAGAATGTGAGACAGGGATGCTAATCTGGCAGTGGTGTAAACTATTTGTATTAAGTCACAGGATGTGAGACAGGGATGCTAATCTGGCGGTGGTGTAAACTATTTGTATTAAGTCACAGGATGTGAGACAGGGATGCTAATCTGGCGGTGGTGTAAACTATTTGTATTAAGTCACAGGATGTAATACAGGGATGCTAATCTGGCGGTGGTGTAAACTATTTGTATTAAGTCACAGAATGTGAGACAGGGATGCTAATCTGGCGGTGGTGTAAACTATTTGTATTAAGTCACAGAATGTGAGACAGGGATGCTAATCTGGCGGTGGTGTAAACTATTTGTATTAAGTCACAGG